GTCCCAGAAGATTAGCAATTTCTGAAAGACTGACACCAGCATGTCTGCCACATTGAAATTAGTCTTTTTTTTTTCCGTTCTGGTTCTCTGTGTCTAATAACGTCCCAGGAGTATAATTTCTTATTTATTTTGGCATGGCATTAGATTTTTTTTTTTTGTAGGTGATTACCACACCCACTGTTGTTACTCCTAAAATATTTTAATACACAACATTATTTTCATAACCAGCTATTCTGTACATAACAACATATTATGTTTGGTTTTTTTTATTATTGCATTTTCTACAGTTTTAAAGAAAATGCACAATTGGGATGCTTTTGCTGACTTCATCCTCTTTCAGTTCTATTTTGATTCTGTTTGTCGTGCAAAACCTCTGACTGCTTTTATTTGATCACTGTAGGTTGTAGAGAAGCTGAAGAGGACAGTAACCCAACAGGCCCGTCCAGCTTCTCCTCTCGCTCCTGCAGGACCAACAGACATTGCCTGTGATTTCTGTTGTGGGACCAAAAGAAACAAAGCCAGCATGTCTTGCCTGACCTGCTTGGCATCGTACTGTCCTGCTCATCTTGAGCCTCACCACAGTTTTCCTGTGCTGAAGCTTCACCAGCTGGTGTCTGCTACAGTGCCACTTAAGGAAAAAATGTGCACAAAGCACAACAAGCTGATGGAGGTTTACTGTAAGACTGATCAAAGATGTATCTGCTATTTGTGCACCATGGACGATCACTGGCGCCACTCAACAGTGTCAGCTGCAGCAGAAAGAGCTGCTGAGCAGGTAAAGATCAATAAAAAAAACGAAATGAATCTGGAGTGTTTTAATTTTTCTCTGATCCTGCGGTTTCTTTTTGCAGGGACGGCTTTTTCTGAGTCACTGTGCAGTTAAGCGGAAATCCCAGGAGAGACAAAAAGAGCTGAATGAGCTGGTCCAAGCTGTGAAGGACTTCAAGGTGTGGAAATAAGACTAGAAACCAAATATCTCTACTGACCCACAGTGCTGTCTAGTACATGTTGTGCTTTGTGGTAGTGTAAACTAAAAAATTACTTGGTTAAATTCCAACTACTGCTTTCAGATTAATACAGCTTTCATAAGAATAACTGCCTCCTTAATGTGCTTTATACCGTAAGGTGAAGACCCTACAATCATACAGAGATGATACATATGAGTTATACAGGTTTTTTTTTTTTCTATTAAGAGCATTAACAGGCTTTAATCCTGTATTTTCAATGTACCTAATACAAGAGATTCAGTCAGCAAATTGAATTGGCTGACTGTGGCCCATTTCATCTGTGTGCAACAGGCACATAGTTGTATGTACACTTTGAGATATTGTTTACATGGAAACTTTTCACAGTGAGTCAAGATGCAAAGTAAACTGCAGATGAACCACGACAAACACATTTTTTTAACAACAAACCTAATTGGTCACTTAAAGGAGCTAATGAGGACAACATGAGTAAAAATAAAGCTCTCCAGAAAATACTTGGAGTAAAAATCTGAAATTAAAATCCATCAATGAGACACTAACTATTACATATTTACTAAATGCAGTGGCTACATTTTATTTTCTTTATATTGGTTTATGAATTTTGCCGCAGTTTTCTAAATTCTCCTCCAAAAAGTATTTTTTTTCCGAATCTAAACCTTCTTTGTATAAAACAGATTTGTTTTCAGACTGCAATGAAGTCCAAAGACAAGCTCTTTGATGAGCTGATCTCTTCCATACAAAAGCAACGTACTTTAATAAAGCAGCTGATTGAGGCTCAAGAGAAACTTGCAGTTGTTCGGGCAGAAGCTCTGCAGCTGCAGCTGGAGGAGGAAATCGCCAGGCTGAAGAAAAGAGATGCTGACCTGGAACAGCTTTCTCATACAGAAGATCACATTCATTTCATTCAGGTAGGAAATGTGTGTATTTTGTGTTGTAGGCCAACCCATGTTTCTTTCTAAAATTCTGTCACCATTTAGACTCTATATTTAATTCAGTGTTTTATAACCAAAAAGTCACATCTGGAGCTGTAAAAGCTCAAATGGTTGTAGAGGAAAACCTGTTTAAACATTACCTCATGAAGACATAAACACTGCACTATCACTATTTTGTTAATTGTTATGTTTTGTAGCGCTCATTTCATGTAAGGCCATCAAAGCTTCCCACCCGAGCAAAGAAAAAATCCAGGTGAAAGAAACCCAATGTGAAACATGCAGTTTGAGCCAACATTGTAACTTCTTGCTGTGGAGTTTGAGGATGCATAAATTTGATTTAAAATGTGTTGCTGTGCAGCAAATGTTCATCAATGAATATGAGCATTTACATTGAAAAAATAAGAGGGAGGATATAAATTTTGTATATGGTGCACCATCTCTCGCTCTCTATATGTATGTATATATAAAAACACTGCAGAGAGTAAAATTACTGACAGTCCACCATTGTACAAATGTAGAAATTAATTTCACTGAAACAATAATGTGGTGCCAAGCATAGAAAAATCTGCATTTTGAAAAATACCCGTGTACATGTGGACATAGCCTGAGAGCCGATACTGATGGAGCCATATTAGAAGTCTAGTCTTGAAAAACTAGATCTATTGTAGAAATACTTTTTTGAGAAAAGCAGGGAACTGAAACTTTGCACACATCCTATTGGGATTTTTTCTTCTTTTTCCTTTATAGTTAAACATAAAATGTTTTTATTTAAATATGTTATATGTTCAAAAATTAAATTTCAACATCTTTTTTTTTTTTTCTTTTTTTTTACCCAGCTCTTCCAGTCTCTCTCCATCTCATGTGAATCTCCAGACTTGCCAACAGGCGCTGTTGTTCGTCCTAAACATTCAGTGGAAACCGTGACCGAATGTCTGACTCAGCTGAGAGATGACATGAAGAAGCTTCTGGAGACCACATGGCCCAAGATCTCTGCAACAGGTACCTGAGAGAAATATCCATCCACTTGATTCCACTTAATCCAGTATTATTCATTTATTTTGTTCCTATCAGTTTTTGGTATAAAAGTTGTGCTGCCACCTGTGCCAAAGACCAGAGAAGAGTTTTTGTGCTGTAAGTATATCAGTATATTAAAGCAGTAATCACTTACTAAATACTAGAAGGCTGATGATATTCCTGGTTTGCTTGTCCATCAGATCACTGTCCTCTAACAGTGGATCCCAACTCGGTCAACAAATACTTGGACCTTTCACAAGATTCTCAACGAGTGACGAGTGGCTACTATGAGCATTTTCATTTATCTCACTCGGACAGGTTTGGAGGTGTGAAGCAGGTGCTGTGCAGAGAGGGTTTAACAGGGCGGTGCTATTGGGAGGTCAGTTGGAGTGGTGGCGCCTGGTCGGTGGCAGCGTCTTACAAAAACATCAGCCGGACATCATTCGACTCGGAATTTGGGAAGAATGACAAGTCCTGGTGTTTGGAGTGCTCTGCAAAAGGATATACTTTCAGACATAACTTAGTAGCCAAGGCGGTGTCAGGTCCTCGTACCTCTCAGATTGGCGTGTACCTGGATTACAGGTCAGGTACTCTGTCGTTTTACAGCATCTCTGACACCATGACTCTGCTTCACAAAGTGTGCACAGTATTCACTCAGCCTCTCTATCCTGGCCTTGGGCTGAAGGAAGGAAGCTCTGGCTGTTATGCAGAAGTGAAGAAGTTGTGATGCCAACTTTTTCACCTCTACCATGGTGATTAATGTCTTTCAAGACCTAAAATAAGCAGTGAAGAAACCTGTGAGTGACTCGAATGACTCGCACTGTTTGGATGTTGAAAGGCGTGACTCTAGTTGCTCTATCGTCACCAGGCAGGTGTAGAGTTGTGGTTCTAGATTAGAACGTTGGAGAAATAAAATCACTGCTAAGTAAATGTAAGAGTTTGTTGCTTTAAGTAATATCACTACCCCGGGTTTTTTTGG